ATTGCCAAACCTGTGGCAACCCTAAAAATACTCTCTTATTCTGAATCATTGCAAATCCACTGAAAATCAGTAATCATTTTCAACTGTTTTTAAGTGAATAATAGATATACATACATTATTTCAATTGGATTTATTTCTAATTTGATTCATTTCTAATTTGAAATGTCATTTTTGTTTATAATTCTTAATGGGATTTTTTTTTACAATTTACAGTGAAATTTATTTATATTTTATAATTATCTGAAGGTAATTAGTCATTTCTGGATTGTTGAGTAATTTAGAGAGGAGTAAGGAGAGAGGGAATTTTTGTAGAAAAGAAATATGTAACTGCTTTTTATTCTTTGTAGAATGTCGTCTTAAATATTTTAAAAGAAAAAAAAATGTTTCTCTTTTCTAGGATAAAATGGTTATGAAAGATGAACTTTTAGTCACTCAGTGAAAAAATTAGGAGAAGCATAATATATGAGCCTTTTTTGAGAATCATATGGCCAAAGGGATTTGTCGAAGCGATCTTCTTCATTTTATGGTTCTAAGTGCCCGCGAGAGCCAAGCCAAAAGCTTATGCAAACAGAAAATATTTAAGTGGTCTCACAGACTTAGCAGGTCTCGTCAAATAAATATTTCTTCAAGAGCAAGTGCAATTTTTCTCGAGTTTTAAAGCAATGAAAGAAAAATGTGCATGTCAAGATGGTGAACTCTCTTTCTCACTCTTTCTTTTTCTTTCTTTCTCACAGTATAACAAATTATACTGCTCTTAAACAAAATGAAAAATTTTACGAGTTTTTTCTATTATCAAATTTTGGCTCTAAATGAAATACTACTGGCTCCTACTGCTTTCGTACATAAAAATTATTGGAAATATTTTGTAAATATTGTCAATTTGTTGTTTTTCGTTTATGCAGGGCTCAAACTAGGTCAAAATTTCAATTATCTTTAGAAATAATAAAAATTTCACAGAAATTCAATTATTTACAAATTTTATATAAATTTCTTAGTCATAATTTAATTATTTTTATAAATGATAAAATTCTTTTTAGGACTTCAATCATTTTCATAAATAATAAAATTTATGGCAGAATTTTGATTATTTTTAATACAATTTTATTCGAATTCCTCGAAAAATGTAATTAATCATAAAAATTGTATTACAATTCATTAAAAAAATTCAATTATTTAAAAATTAGTTGATAAAATTCTTTATGAGAATTTATTTTTAAGAAGTAATCAATTATTCAATAAATTATTAATTTTTGTATTTAAATAATTGAATTCTCATAGAATTTTCTAATCAAAAGTGAATTAAAAATTAATTTTTTTGTTTCAGATAATAATTAAATATTAAAAGCATTATAGCATGAATTTTTAGAAATAATTGACTTTTGAAAAGGTTTCAAATTAAAATTTTGGAAGATCTAAATTCTTCATACTTTTCAACTAACTAATAATAATAATTCAATTATTTTGGTAAATAATAAAATTCTTATTAGGAATTCAATTATTTTGATAAATAATAAAACTCATTGCAGAATTTCAATTATTTTTAATACAATTTTAATTGAATTCCTCGAAAAAATATAATTATTCTTAAAAATTTTATTAAATTCGTCAAAAGAATTCAATTTTTCAATTATTTAAAAATTTATTGATACAATTCTTTATGAGAATTCAAATTTTAAGAAACATGCAATTATACAATAAATTATTTTTTTGTATTTAAATAATTTAATTCTAGTTGAATTTTCTCAAAAAAATTGATTTAAAAATGGATTTTAGTTAAAATTTTAGTTTATAATTGAATAGAATTAATTTTTTTTAAAAAGTGCTCGTCAAAATTTCAATTATTATCTTTTCAAATAATAAAATTCTTATAAGAAATTCAATTTTTTCAAATTTTTTTTTAAAAAGTTCTCGTCAAAATTTCAATTATTATCTTTTCAAATAATAAAATTCTTCTAAGAAATTCAATTTTTTCAAATTTTTTTTTATAAAGTTTTCGTCATAATTTCAATTATTATCTTTTCAAATAATAAAATTCTTCTCCAAAATTCTATTAATTTCAAAAATTTTAATAAAATTCTTGGCAAAATTTCAATTATTTTCGAAAAATTTCCTCAATACAATAATTTTTAATAGTCATCTACTATTCTAATAAAATTTTCCAAAAGAATTCAATTATTTTAATAAATAATAAAATCTTTACAGGGATTCAATTATTTTGGTAAATAATAAAATTCTTATTAGGAATTCAATTATTTTAATAAATAATAAGTCACTGCAGAATTGTAATTATTTTTAATACATTTTTAATTGAATTCCTCGAAAAAAGGAAATTATTCTTAAAAATTTTATTAAAATTCGTCAAAAGAATTCAATTATTTAAAAATTTATTGATACAATTCTTTAAGAGAATTCAATTTTAAGAAAAATGCAATTATTCAATAAATTGTTTTTTTTAATTTAAATAATTGAATTCTATTAGAATTTTCTCACAAAAATTAATTTAAAAATGTATTTTAGTTAAAATTTTAGATTATAATTGAATATTAAAATCATTAGAGAATAAATTTTAAGAAATAATTGAATTTTGAAAAGGTTTCAGATTAAAATCTTTGAAAATTTGAATATTTCATATTTTTAACTGACAATTCTGTGGAATTAATTTTTTTTGAGAAAGTTTAATTGCGGATTTTTTTTTATATTATTTAAAGTTTTTATTTTCTGATATATATTTTATTGAAGAATTTACGAATAATTGAATTTTCGTAAAATTGAATATTGTTAACAAATGGATTTGTAAATTGAGGCTCCGGATCTTAAAAGGGCACTTTCACCATGTAAAGTCTATGCGGAAAGTGCCCTTTTAAGATCCGGAGCCTCAATTGTCAAAGAACTTTTCCGAAAATTATTAAAAATAATCGATTTTAAGAAGAATTTTAGTCAAAAATTCTTGAAAATAATAATTTTATCACTGGGTCATTTCTAATTGTTATAAAACATGAAGAAATCGATCACTCCGAGTCTTCGACTTGGAGTTATCGTTATCTTCATGTTTTATAGTTATGAAAAATTTAATTTATAGTTTTAAGTAAAATTTTCTCTTATTTGACTCTGACTGGTTATATTTTTGTCAGCAATTGATCCGTAAAGTCCTTATTTTTCATTTTTGTTCCGTAAAGTCCGTATTTTTAAATACTTTCACTGGTTCAAGCCCTGGTTTATAATTGTTATTAAAATGAAATTTTTTTTCCTCCAAAAAATAAAGAATTAAAGACAAAGAGAATGTAGAACAAAGATTTATTTGAAAGTCAAGCTGCTAGTTTTTGGAGAATAAAACCGTTTGGAATTGCAAGGAAATTGGGGACTGGACTCGAGAGTAAACATACGTGGCAGAGAGGAGTGTGGACCATCTGTTGTTATCCTAGTTGTGCAGTACAATAGTATTATCCAGGGAATGGTGAAGTTTCGTACTTACAACGGTCTGTTGACCATTCGAAGTCGTGATATCAAGTTTTGAAACAAGAGAAAGAGAGACTGACTTTCGTTATTTTAAAGACAATTGTATTTCAAGAAATTTGATTAGATGATTTTGAAAAATTAGATTGACTTTGTTATCTCCAATTGTTCCTTAAAAACAAATGTTTTAAGCTCAAAACGTGATGTTAGTTGTTAGTGTCTGTTTTTGAATATCCGTCCAATCTGTGGTCGAAATATTGTCATAATCAAAATGAACACTCAACATCATCAAATTGTCCATAGCTCATTATAGGAAAAAGCTATTAAAAGATGAAATTATTAAGCGAACATTAATTGAATAATTTAAGATAGATTCAATTTTATGAGCTGTGCCACTTTAAAGTTGGTTGCTGGACGTACTGAAATTCTATATAGTGAAATGTTATTTTCACACTAAATTTATATAGAGAAAATTATAGTCTTCTACATACCTACATATACAGTCAAGGGATCTTTAAATGATTAATAATCGTCTAAAGTTGACAATAAGTAATAATTGTCTCAAGTTATTGATGTAATTGTAAATGACAAAATTATGAAATATAAGGCGAAGAGATGAAAATTTCATCATCATTATTACGGAAAGAATCTTAAGATAAACAAATTTAGAATCTATTTATAGATTCTGTAATTTTTTTCTTTATATAAACCATAACGATGAAATAAAATTTTATTTGTGTTGTAAATCAATTATTTGAAGATATACGAAACACGGGTAAATTAGGTACACAAAGGTTTCATGGGGAAATTTGCCTCACGTGTAATATTGTTTTAACATTGGCTTTACATAGACACACAGGCGCAAATACTTAGAGCCCCGAAGCTGTGAAGCACGTCTATTTTATTAACCTGTTTTGTATTCACAGCCACGCATCGTCTCTCCGTTTCTCCTGTCTACCCTTGTACCTTTCGAGCTTTCTCACACAGAAACCGGTTCGACAAGGCTTCACAAAATTACTCCAGGAAGTACATTATTTATCCCCTCTCCCCCTCATGCTCTTCACAGTCGATCAATATTTTATCTTCAATTTTTTTCATCCTTCTTATCATTTAATAATTTTCATTATTTTCCATGAATCCTAAAATTTCTCAATTTTCATACACTCTAAATCTGAATTAGTGAAAATTTCACTGATTTCAATTCAGTGGACCAGTTTTCTTTGATGAATCAGTGGAATTTCACTGAGAATCAGTAAAAACCACTGATTGTCAGTGAAATCCCACTGATGAATTAAAGAAAACTGGGCCACTGAATTGAAATCAGTGAAATTTTCACTGATTCAGATTTAGAGTGTAATGTAGCAAATTTATTTATTTCTTCTTTAAATTTAATGTCTATTGATAATTTTGCAAATGCATGTCAAATAAATATATTATTACTAGGTCACGTATTCTATGCTATAAAAAATTATTTTTTTAATAGTTTTTTTTTAATACTAAAATTGAGAAAAAAATTAAAGATAAGTTTTTATCAATGCCAAGTATTTTTTTTATAATGTTTATCATAAGTTGCATATCAATGGTAAAAGAAGTATCACTTCCTTAAGAGGTAAGAAATTCTGAAGTTTAACCTCTTTTGTATATGATAATAACATAATATAATTATATACACTGTAAAAGAAGGGAATTAAATTTTAACTCCCCAGGGGATTCTATAAAAATCGCACCCATTTGGGAGTTAAAGCGAAGGGATTTGGATGAAGGGAGTTAAAGTTTACACAGTAAAAAGAAGAATAAACTCCAAAAGGGATTTAATTTAATAATTAACTCCCTTTTGGAGTTGATTTTTAACTCTAAAAATTTAACTCTCAACTCCAGTGACCGTCAACACCTTAATTTTTTAGAGAGTAATGTTTAATTTCTTTGATAATTATTTTTTTTTATTTTTGAAAATATGTAAAAAATGTAAATAATTTTGAACGTTCAAAACTTTAGAAAAATGTTATTTTAATTTGTAAAATTATTATTATGATTATGTTTAACAATTATTTATTATTTAAAATAACTTTAAAATCGACGAATTACCCATTTAATTATCACATCGAATTAATAGTTTTTAACATTTTTATCATTTTAAATAATTACATTATTTTGCTGATTATATGTAATAACCAATTTTTCGAATTTTATTTTATTGTAAATCATTTTTTATAATTTTTTCCTTACCAAAATGGTATTTTAAATGTTTTATTTAAATTATTAATTATAATAATTATGTTTTCAAATTATTATTATCATTATTATTATATGTGTACTCCCCTTAAAAAATTATATTTACCTACTTAATTTTATTAGTTTTTTATAATATTTTTTAATTAGTACTTTTTCTAAATTTTTAATTAATCAAATTATCACTTCTCATAATTATTACATCGAATTAACATTTTTTAACGTTTTTATCATTATACATAATTATTTTTGCTATTTTGTTTATTACATAACAATGACTACAAATGATTGTAGGAATCCAATTATTTTCAAAAGTAATAAAATTCTTGGCAAAAATTCAATTATGTTCAAAAATTTTTTTAAATTCTCATCAAAATTTCAATTATCTTCAGAAATATTTAAATACTTCTCCAAAATTCAATTATCTTCAAAAATTTTAATAAAATTCTTGGAAAAAATTCAATTATTTTCAAAAAATTTCCTCAAATTCAATGATTTTTAATAGGTTTTTACTATTCTAATAAAATTTTCCAAAAGAATTCAATTATGTAAAAGAAAATTTAATAAAATTCTACACAAACCTTTAATTATTTTCAAAAAAGAAAAAAAAAATTCGCAGAAATTTCATTATTTACAAATTTTTTAATAAATCTCTTCGCAAATATTCAATTATTTTAATAAATAATAAAATTCTTATTAGAAATTCAATTATTTTGATAAATAATAAAACTCATTGCAGAATTTCAATACAATTTGAATTGAATTCCTCGAAAAAATGTAATTATTCTTAAAAATTTTATTAAAATTTGTAAAAAGAATGCAATTATTTAAAAAGTTATTGATACAATTCTTTATGAGAATTCAATTTTAAGAAACATGCAATAAATGTTTTTTTTGTATTTAAATTCTGGTTGAATTTTCTAATAAAAATTAATTTATAAATGGATTTCAGTTAAAATTTTAGATTATAATTGAATATTAAAAGCATTTGAGCATAAATTTTTAGAAATAATTGAATTTTGAAAAGGTTTCAAATTAAAATCTTTGAAAATTTGAATTGTTCATATTTTTAACTAACAATTCTGAGGGATTAATTTTTTTTGAGAAATTTTAATCCGCGATTTTTTTTATATTATTTGAAGTTTTTATTTTCTAATATATATTTAATTGAAGAATTTTCGAATAATTGAAATTTCATAAAATTGAATATTGTAAACAAATGGATTTGAAAATTGGCAAAGAACTTTTTCGAAAATTATTAAAAATAATCGATTTAGAGAAGAATTTTAATTAAAACTTTTTGAAAATAATAATTTTATCACTGGGTCATCTTCATGTTGTATAGTTATAAAAAATTTAATTTATATAGTTTTAAGTAAAATGTTCTCTTATTTGACTCCGATTGGTTATATTTCTCTCTCAGTAATAAAAATTCTTTTAATTGGTTATTAGAAAACTTTATTATTCTGTAAACTAATATCTCGAATTAAAAACATTTTCGGTATTTCTTATTAGACAATTACTGCGGAATTACAATTTTGGTAAACTAAAGATACGGAAAAACAAAATTATGGGGTCTATTATTTGTGCCTCAATATAATTTATACATTATAATTTACCATAATTATATCATGTATATTAAATATTGATTTACAGATTGTTAATTGAAAGTTTGAGAAAAGAAAAGGTTTCTTAAGAGAAAGTAGAAAAAATTCGCTAAAACACCAAGATTAATTAATGACCATCTATTAATTGATTCGTCAACATATCTCATTGTACGATATTAATTATATTGAAAAAAATTGCAAAATTATTTATTAATAATGAAATCAATTGTTCTCCTTGGAAACATTGTAACAATTATACTTGTTACATTGCCAGCTTTCAAAACTATAAGAATTTCTGACGATGAACGAGAAGCTGAGTTTTTGAAATTACAAACTCTAAGACAGAAGGTAAATCGCCATTTCAATTATAATATTAATATGTCGATATTGAGGGAATTTGTTCTGAGCAGGAATGATATGTATGATTTTGCTGAATATTTAAATCAAACTGGTGGACAAACACCAGAATGGAGCAAGTCGCGTAGACTGGTAAATCCAGAATTATATGAATTATTGCGATTTAACAATTATGTCGACTCAATACCTTCAAGTGCAAATGAAATGACTGAAAGTTTAACAAACCTTAAAAATAGAATTTTTGAAAATTCACCTAACGTTTCATTTGAACAAATATGTTATGATTATATGAAAGAAAATTTATATGAATTAATTTCATTTGAGAATTATTTTGCTATTCGAGTTTTAGAAGAAGATTATAATCAAATTGAATTGGAAAATCTCGTAGGTTGGAGAATGAAAAAAGCACTATATAGTTTGGCAATCCGACAGTACAGTCAAAATTCTGCTTCCAATTTTTTGACAATATATTGCCATTCTAAACATTTAAAATCTAGGAGCTTCATAGACACGTATGAAATGGGAGAAACTTTTAAAATATTAAACTTCAGGTTATGCAGTAGCAAACGCTCGTCACCAGAAATAAAGTCAAAGTCTTCAATAATGAGGATGAATAACTTCACTTCATATTGGATTTTTTATGAATTTATGATTACTGACCCCAAATTGATAGTATATTTGGAAGATGTCATAAAAAGTAACGATGAAAAGATTTACATTTTTCTTCCAGAAACAAGGTTTAAGGTAATAAATGGTCCAGAAGTTTATAATACAAACATTGGATTAGCTGCATTTTTAAAATTAAGAACTATTTATTATCCTCGGACTTTGAGATGGCTTGCAGAAGCAGCGAATAATATCGAAATGTATGAAAAGAAGGAAAAAGAATATTATGTGGAATTTTTCCAGTTCTTAGATGACCTGGATATATAATTGAGATGAAAAACTGAAACTCGGCAAAAATAAATTTTATCAGTCCACATATAATAAATGAGCGAAAAGTAAAATAATGTATTAAATACAATTGTTAAATATATTGTTAAATAATTGTAATAATTAATTATTTATGAAAATAATTGTTCTCAATAAAGTAGAGAATCTTATTAATCTTTAATTCTAAAAGTCTAATTCATTTTCCTTTTCGTTAAAATAATTGTTAACTGATTTTAAAAACTATAAGATATGTAATAATTGTAGTAATTAATTATAATAATAATTATTTTTGAATAAAAGCAAAAAATCTTATTAATTTTTAATTCTAAAAGTCAAATTTATTTTTCATTTCGCTAAAAAATCTGTTAACTGATTGAAAATTTAAAAAATTTGAAGACAAAAATTCTTATTTTCTCTATTCTCTTCATTTACCCTTTTAGATTAAAATATCTCAAAATCTTGACGTTCTGGATCAATTTTGATCACAGATTCAGATTTAACGCGTCGAAAACCTTTAGAAAAGTATTATTTGTTTCTTGGTTGAAACGGTATTTCAATAGTCAAAATTAAAAATTTAATAATTATAAATAAATTAATATAATCAAAATTTTGTAGATGAAAAAAAGTATAATTCTGTTAAATTTAAAAGTATAGGAAATTCAAAATAAGGTCAATTGAGTACAAATGTACTGAGATAAACACCTAAATATGAAATAGGCTCAGCTGACTCAAGGCCAAGGTTAAGAAAGAGAAAAGAAAATTTGATATTTCAAATTTATAAAATTAATTAGAAATTTGAATAAATGTTAAAAAGATAAATTATAAAAAATTAACACAATGTTAATTTTCTATTTAAAGTGTATATTTTATTTTTTATAAATAATATTAATTTTATTAATTAAATTATTTAATTATATTATGTTAGAATAAATAAAGTTATGGTAAAATTTATATCAATAGAAAGATAAAAATTAATAGATATTGTTAGTAACATTTAAAATTATTATAAGTTTATTATTTAAAGAATTATTAAAGTTTAAAGAAATAAAATAAATTCATAGAGAAAAGTGATTGACAGCTATACAATGGTATTGTTTTCGGAATACGTTAGACACGTTGGAGACTAGAAAGAGAGAAAATATAGTTTTGTCTCTACTCGAGAAATTTAAATATTATTGGAGTGACGAATATGACACGCTATGAATTTCCGTCAATAGAGAGACCGATAGCTTCGCGAAACGGAAGTCATGCGGATTTTTCCTATTAACCGGAAAGAAATAAGGACGGGTAGAAAATTCTAGAAGGTTCTAGAAGGTTCGGTAGCGTCCTTTACAGGGTATATAAACAGTGAAATCAAAGGTTTCGCTCTCTCATATCTATTCAAACACTTGAAAGGGTAAGCATTGACACTTATCTTACATTTAACACACAATATTATATATTTGTAATATTCAGGAGCTCGTTGTTTTTCAACTTTCAACCTGTTATTGAAAATTATAATTATTAACATTTAACACAAATACATTACAAATCGTAAAAATTATACAAGAATTTGTTGTTTTACAACTAATATCTTGTTAATTACAAAATAATCTACAAAGTCAAGCCCTGGAATTGAAATTTGAGGAGCTCGTTGAATTCTTTTTAACTTTCAACCTCAGTTTTGATTCCTAAAGAGGTAACAAAAGCAAATCGTAAGTTTATTGAATATTCTTATGAGCTGTGTTCATATAGTAATAGGCTATATCGATGTGGCAGTTTGAAAGATTCAATAAATATTGATCCCAGACCACCAAAAATATTATTTATAATAGGAAATAATTAATTTATTTAAATTAATTATTTAGTCAATTTCTCAGTGAAATAAATGGATTTTATTATGTGAATTGAATTAGTTCTGATCATTTTTCGATATTATAATTTTATCATATCTAAAATAAATCAGAATTTAATAAAGTTTATAATTTTAAAGAATATTTATTTATTAATAGAATAGTTAATTTAGGGTTCCTTTTGTAGGTAGAATTTATAAAATTTTATTATTAAATTTTATTTAATTTTTGTTTATAGATTTGTCAAAGTGGGAATATTCATTTGTTGAAATTTTTGAAGTTGTTAAGTGAGAGAAAGGTTCTTACAAAGGTGAATGAACTTTATTATTTATTTTGTTTTGTTTTGTTAATATTGTGTCAGTTTATATAGAACATAGCAACCGAACTTACAAAATTATTTATGAATAAAAACTATATCATAAGAAAAGATTTCTTTATAGTTAAATAATTGTGTTAATTATTATAATTTAACTTTAATTTATTAATTTATTATTTTATATTTATCCTACGAACAGAAGATAAAAATTATCTTATTTAGTAGTGGATAAATTAGAAAGAATAAAAAGCTGAATTACCGAATAATTATTGGAGCAGATTCCTCTAATTTGGTTACAAAGCGACAAATTTTCTCAAAAATAAAATATAATATTAAATTAAAGAGAAATACAGATTACATAATTTTATTCATATAACCCTTTTACTATATGTTGACAAAACAAGATCTTATCAGTTGATATAGTTTGTCGCGTATTTCATTGTTAGAGGATCTTTAAATTAGGGAAACAATGTCCTTTTAAATTGAACAATAACATTCTTTCTATTATATCATTCATATGATATAAGAATGACAATTATCGAATACGTATGTGTGAGATAGTTTTCATGTTTTGAAACACGTGGGTTAGCAGAATATTACCGTACAGTGGGCTTTTAAATCAAAATAAAGGAAAAATATATATAGATATATACTTACCTCGGTTTGTTAACTAATACACGAATGTTTCATGGTGCTGAGAGTTGTCAAAATTTTTTCCAATTTTTTCGTTTTTATCGCATTTAAAAATTTAAATTATTTTCCATGTTTCTAAATTTCTGAATTTTCATAAAAGAATTTATTTATTTTTTCTTTAAGTTAAATGTGTATTCATAATTTTTCGAAAAAAGTGAGTTGCAAATAAATATTATCACAAGGTCACGTAATCTTTGCTATAAAAAATTATTTTTTTTTGTACAGTTTTTTTAAATAAAAAAATTGACAAATAATTTAAGATAATTTTTTATCAATGCCAACAATTTTTTTTATAATCTTTGATATAAAATGCATATGAATAGTACAATATATATCACAGGCTTAAGAGCTAAAAAATTTTGAAACTTTAATATTTTTGTAAATAATAATAATAATATGAAATATTTTATGAAATATTTAAACTATTTTCTTGATATAATTGAAAATATTATTATTTTGTAAACTAATAATTTCGAATTAATGAAATTATTAGTAATTCTTAATAGATAAATACAATTTCCGTAAATTAAAGATACAGAAAAACAAAATTGGGGCCTAATATTTGTGCCTTAATATTATTTATTCATTATAATTTACCATAATTATATTAAGTATATTAAATATTAATTTACAGATTGTAAATTATATTATTTTATTTATATATATTTTGATTTATTAAAATTTTTCAAAAATCTGGGTTCATTAAAATTTCTAATTAAATTTATTCAACATTGAAATTTTATAAAATTTCAAATTGAAACCGTTTGCAGTTCATTTATTTATGAAAATTGTAAACGCAACTCTTTAAAAATTGAATTAATTTTGAAATATTTAAGTAAAATTATTCATTAAATAATTTATTTATTTTATGATAGTTGTTCAAGATTTAAGTTATTTAAAAAGAATGTTTTGTCCGAAATTGAAAAAATTGAAAGTTTTGTATTAGAATTCGTGGTAATTTTATAGTTTATGAGTCAAATAAATAAGACACGAAAATTCAGAATTTTCTTATGAATTCTAAAAATTTAAATTCTTTCAGTACTTTTAATAAAAATTCCTGACTTTTCCCTGAATTTCCTAATGTCAGAATATATGATTATTATAATTATATTAATATTAAAACTATATATTCCAATTCATATTTTATTTTTATAAAAAAAATAAGAATTAAAAATTTTTACGTTCTTATTATTTTTAAAATTAATAATTTATTTTAAAAAGTGAGTCAAAAGTCAGCCGCGCGCGAATTGTTGCTTGTACTGATATTAAAAAGAATCAGAGATCTTTTAAAAATTAAATCCTTAACAGACATTTCGTTTGTACGATTTTTTATTTATTATGATTTTCATTTAAACGAATTTCCATAATAGCAAATTTTTACATAATCGAACATTCATTTGACAGAATTTACATTAGATCGAATTTCAATTTGACGACATTTTCATTTGCTGGAATTTTAATTTAATAGATAAATATTGTCCTTGTCTTACTAGTGGAAGTTTGTTGCGAAACTAAAATTTCTGTCAAATAATATTTTATGGAGAAATAAAAGATATTTGTGGAGTGAAAGACAGTTAATGTAAGGTAAATGCAAAATAATACTAAGAGAAAATAAAATTTCTAAATCTCTCGCTTTTATTCAGCATGCGAAAATTGACATCTGGTGCTGTTTACATTGGAGTATTTTCTAAATTGAATTGGCAATCGTTGAAAGTTCCCAGGCAAGGTCTTATCGTTTACGAATTTAGGGATGCATGCTTTTTCCACTGATAGATCAAAGTGATTCACAAACACGATTAGAGATTCTTAGAGAGAGATATGCGACTGTTCTTAAAGTAAAGAGCTAGGATTTGGTCTTCTAAAGATCTATTCAGACGTGTGAACTCGCGAGTGTTGGAAATAGCACGTATTTAGTGGGTCGGAATCCCTTTGTACATCCCATGCACATATCATCTTTAACAAGACAGAAGGGCATCCCATTAACGTAACCCTTTCAATCAAAATGCAGACACCTTGTTGCAGATTCAGTCGTTTATAATTAGACTCGAAAGATTTAATTATAGATAATTTAGTCCAATTCTCTAAATTGCCCATAATCGTATTGAATTTATTTTTTACTGTCTTTTGCTAAATGCTTTGTGCCAGCATTTTCAATACACTGAAAAAAAATTTATTTGATTTTTAAAAAAACGATTAATTCACTATTATCAATTAAATATTTAATTGAATCAAATAATATTTATTGGAGTCAATTAAATGGTTCAATTCATATTTTCTTCAAATACTGAAATTATTGGTTCAAATGTCATTTAATTGACTTAAATTTTACATTAAACAGTA